ATACCGGTACCAGGTACGTGTACGGTACCTGGTACTTGTAGGCCCACGAGGTTTCGATTGACGTGGTAAAAAAGGCGAATAGAAAATGTTCTTCACACCGTGGAAAACGGAGAGAGAAGAAAAAATTCAACCAAAGTGTTATATTGACAATTGACACACACACCAACGACAGTAGATGGAATCTTCAACAGTAGACGATCCGTTACTATGGACAATATGCTACTGGATTGTCTCAGCCCTGAACTATGGAGCATCTATACTTTGCCTATTTGTATTTGTTTCCATCATGTCGAATCCAAAGACAAGGACGAATGCCTTCAATCTCTACGTTGGATTCATGATCTTTCCTGATTCGCTGTATGCAATGACCATGGGATTCTTGTATTTATCAAAAGCACTCGGACTTCCATTATTCCCACCATATGAAGTCACGGTATATGTCTATTTCCTAAACTTTCTGGTCAACTTTTACTCAAACGGTGTGGTGGTCCATGAAATCAACAAGCTCATCCAACAGTCTAACAATCGACAACGGACACAGCTGCCAGATATTTCTAGAGTTTACAAGCAAATGGCTGCTGTCTATTTGTACGGTGTATTCCTTGCCACATGGGCCATTCTCCCAGTGTCCTGGTCACTCTATCACATTATTGACCAAGACAAGGGAGAAGGGGATTTGGGGTCGCCTCCAGGTGGTCCAGTGAGCCGCTTGGCAGCCATTGCCATTGCGTATGGTTCAGTCATAATCCCGACTGGATATGTCATCTATGTGAGCATTCGAGTGTGGCGAAAGAAGCTGTTGCCACGAAAAGGAAAGACACGTACTCTTTCCCTCTTCTTTATGAGAGTCATCATTGTGTTTGTCGTGTTTTATTTCCCAAACACGGCAACAACCGTCCTTCAATCAGGCATGGAGACTGCGAGTGGCATCTTTTGGATTCGAGTTGTGAGAGGTTTACTGGCGGCAGGTCAAGTGTACACTACCATTTATCTCATCTCGAGAAAAGATGACATCCGCCGGGCCACGATTGAGGCATACAACAAGACATTTGGAACTGTCTGTTGCAAACTATCATACTCCAATGGGAGCGGAGCTGAACGAGGATCAGTACGAGTTAGCGGTTTCTCAATGGGGCCATCCGAGATCCAGCGGAACTCTCAGGTATCCACCAATCCGCTGCCGACATCATACGATCACCCCCCAGCGTCTAGTGAGAGAAATATTCAGAGTGAATGGGAGGCCGAAGATGAATACGACAACTTGAATTCGACGGGCAAGAGTGTACATGAGGATAGCGATAAAGGCAACAATGCTTCCGACGGTGGAGATGATGAAGAAGGTCCTTCCGACTCCCGAGTTAGCACAATAAACATGGCGGGTCAAGTCAACAGTTCGGTAGAATGAGGGAGTTCTGTGACAGATAGCAAGCGAAAGAAGTTGCGTCGATGCCTGCTGACCATTATCACATAATGCTTCTTCAAGTATCTATACATTGCAGGTACGAAGAGAAGCAATCGCCAAGCAATCACCAGATACCAACTTACCAACTATGGTAGAAATGGCCACGCAAGAAAGGGAATGCTCACGCTTTAAGAGAACTGCCGACTGCGGTGAGGGCAATGTATTATTGCTATACATCACTCTATATTCTCAAATAGTGCAGAAACCTATTCTTAAAGTTAAGATTAGAAATATTGTAGTCGTAACTTATCTATTTGGTTTTAGTGATGAATGATAATATGTATTTATAGATGTACCGGTATGATATATACAAAATATTTCCATTGATCATATAATACAACAATTATTCACACCGAGGTACATATCTTCCGTCGCGTCGCCGCGAGACAAACATTTTCGACTCAACGGACCCCTCTATCAAATCTTGATAAAGTTTATGGCACTATCTTAGCACCATTTCACTATAGTCGACATGCGGGCTATTTGGACCTACCGGTACAGCATCATATACCGCATTTTAGAATTGATCATATCATTACGCATGGTGCGGCAGACAATATCAAATTTGGTGTTTCAAAAATAAAAAAGTGTACGCTAGGAAATAAGTTTATGTTCTTCAATAAAATTATGCCTTCTTTCCCATCAACACAAGCCATGGACATCGACTAACCAATAACCAGACCGTCTCCGAATAACCCTTTTGATAGGCTCAGGGCAGTGGTGTCGTCTTAGCAAGAGTCTTGGCATCTACTGCGGCACCTCGATCCAAGAGTAGGCGTGCAATATCATTATAATCGTTGAGAGCTGCAAAATGCAACTGCCGCCATCTCAGATTGGTCGTCTTCGCTTCCAACTCAACATGTGACATCCAACGGCGCCTTGCTCTGTTGTCAACAATCCCAAACTGGCACCTTCATCCAAGAGAAGACGAGCTGCGCCTCCAATCTTTGTGCCAAATGTAGAGGCGTGTCGCGAATATTATTCTGCGCTTCGACATCCGCTCCCCGGTCCAACAGAAGACGAGCAGCGTTGAGCTTTCCTTCGGAACATGCAACATGTACAAGTGTGTTTCACCGTCGTTTGTTCCTTGCTTCAATATCCACTCCTCGATTCAGCAGTAGACAAACACGTTCAACAGGATCAGTGTCTATATAGTAACTTCCGCAAACTGAATGCAAAGGTGTATCCTCGCCATGACAATCCCTGGCCTCCAAATTACCGCCTTGCTCTCCTATCAACAATCCCACAATTTCGACAGAGATAAAGTGACTCTCGGTGAGTCCCAAATGCAAGGGTGTATAGCCAGTGTATAGCCACTTCTGTTCCTTGTTTCGAGATTAGCATCTCGACCAACCAAGAGCTGAGTGACATTCAAATGACCACACTGGACTGCTTCATACAATAGGCTGGTGGGTTCCTCATTGCCGGCTCCATGTGCTTCCATAGTAGCACCTCGATCCAACATTTCTTGAAGAACCTCCAAAACAATTTTCTGGCATACCACTTTCGAAATAAAAAGACCTCAAGTAGAGGAGTCCATCCTTCTTGGTTCTCTATTTTCATGTTTACACCGTTGTCCAGCAGTGCTTTTCCAAGGTCGAGTTGACTCGTCCACTTGCAAGCATGATGTAAAAGCGTACTCTCATCACAATCATCGCATGCATATACAAAGCATCGCATCATTGGTTTCAGCAAAAATTGACTACTTCGATCACCTTGCGAGATTTGACTTCAACTTTCAAACTTACCGTCTGTACTTTACGTGCGAGCTACAGACGATGGCTGTAGATTGCTACTACCGTACCGGTACTGTACCGATCGTAAGTACAAGTGCCTATCCATGATGCAGACGTTGCTTATTCACCAAGTATGATCAATATGTTCATGATATAATACAAGGTAGATAGTATTATAAATAGTGTAATGTAATGTATTTGTCCTAAATTGTTTTTGTGTTTCCTAAATTTGTGTATTTGTGTGCAGCTTTTGTTTGTGAAGTGCATCCGTTTGTGTGTATCATTCTATCATTTCAATCCTTCATCCAAAACGCCCAAGAATATAGAGAAAGAAAAAGAGCGACTCAGCAGTCGAATAATTTTTAGCAGGAACAAAATCAATCCCTTCCTTTTTTGTGGGTCGAGGATGTCATAGCAGTTATGGTTGTTTCGTGTTTGCGCCAAATTCAAAAAAGTTTTCTTTTTAGGCAGCAAACGAAGCAACAGTCGGGGTTGGTTTGGGGTTAGAGGCCCCACCCGAACAACGTCGGACCATTTGTTCGCACAACTCAGAGTTTCCTTGCACAAAGTTTTCATGAAAGTACATGTTCTTGTTGTTGTTGGTTCTTGTTCGGTTGAATCCATACAAATTGAGCTGTCTGCGGAAGGACGCAAATTTGGATTGATCAAAGTAGATGGACATGATCTTGCCCACAAATTCCTTTTGATCGTGAATTTGAAAGGCACGTCCATTGTCCACCCAAGAAACAATGTGTCGAAAGTTCATACGTTCGGCATCGTCCAACAATTGGTGCAACTTGGCAGGGAAAAAGGCACCCTTGTTGTTGTTATTGTTGTTAGTTTGTTGGGCAACGGCTTGAGTTTCCACAGCCTTGAGTGGATTCTCAATGACATTGGCAGGGGCACAGGTTCCATGGTGATGATGATGATGTTCATGAAGCATGTCTTCTTGAAAGACGCTTTGCAACTTGTCCAACATGAACTGATCATCATTATGGTAATGGGCTTGATGATGACCAGCATGATGCGATTGTGGATGTTGTGCAGCAGCAGCAGGATGATGATGATGATTCATCATCATCATGCTGTTGTGAGAAGAGACACGTGGAAGACAAGTACTTCCGAGAGGAAGAGGCTCGAAATCATGGTGCTCAATGTTGATCTCATTCTTCATTTGAGCCAAAGCAGCATCAATGGGGTCCACATCTTCTCCGTACATGTTGAACAAATCCTCATCGATGCTAGTCATGGGAGACTGAGAGCGAGCATATAGGGGTGGAGAGGAGGTAGAAGCGACTGGGACAGGGATCACAGCGGTTGGCTTGGAGGCAAAGATGGTAGGCTTCTGGTGGCGGCGAATATTCTTGCAAGTGGTTGGATTCTCGCGAGTAAAGTAAGGATGCTCGTAGCCTCCCGTGTTCCAGCCAGTGCGAATGCGTTGGAATCCATAGATGGAGAGCTGAAATAGGAATGATTTGAGTGATAAATTAATGTGTGAGTATGATCGTATAAATGTCACAAGTCTAGCTTCGGCTCTTCTCTTCATGTTTTACTCCATCCATTCTTACCTGTCTCTGAAAGGAGGTGTACTTGATTGGCTTGAAATACTTGGGAATGATATCATTTTGAAAGATTTGTGGCTTGTGGACCTTGAAGGACTTTCCACTGTCTTGCCAACTCACAACATCTTGGAATCCCATGGTCTCTGCGTCCATGATGAGGCCGTGAAGCTTTTCAGGAAAGGAAGACCGCGCAGCAGCGTCTCCTCCCATGATATCTTGCGGTTGGTGCAGAGAGGTTGCTACTGGTTTGTGTTGTTGTTGTTGTTGCTGTTGTTGCTGATGCTGTTCCAAAGCATGGTGAGGCGAAAAATACATTTCTTCCATTGATAGATACATGTCGTTGGTGGCAATTCTTGCTGGTGCTTGTGCTTGTTGGACGACGCTCATGTGAATTGTGAGAAGGATAGGAACGTTGAGTTGAAGGTTTTGTAACTGCAGTCAGTGGCACTGTGTCGACTTGTAATCGTGCAAAATTTTATGAGATACCACAGGCAGGAAGAAAAGTCATACGGTACCACACCAAAGTTCCCAGAACTTACGTCATATGACGTCGAGGTCGATTTCTGATTAAAGATCGAAAGTCATGCTACGTCAGGTTTTACTTAACAACACACCCACGTGGCCAGCTTTTGGAGGCGTTTTCACAAGGATTCCTGATCCGAAAACACTGGAAGGGGCTGGAATTGTTCTTGTCGTCATTCTTTTGCTCGTACGGATGTCAACCCTAACGCTTGTACTTATCAAGGCTGCACGTGCTCCCATATTATACTGGCTCTCACATTCCTACAACGTCATCGTACTTATGGCAGTGAAGCATATCGACAAGTCTTCTCTAACGCATTCTAGAAAAGGTTACCCTAAATCTATTCCAAAGACACATATTGTGAAACCTTTGGTGGCCCGTTCTTCGGATTGCTCCGTAGTAAAACTTCCAGCATCGGATCAAAACTCTATGTGTGACTCTGCATAACCACTTTCTACGACGCATTGAGTATGAAATTTGAAAATGCACTGAAACAGGCAAACGCCATTTTGTCACAGAAATGATGTCAGCCTCATTTAAGAAAGGACTTTTTATCACAAGAGTGATGTCAGCCTCATTTATGAAAAAGACTTTTATCATAGAGCGTGAAAACGGTATGACATCAGCTCGAAACTGCATAGAGTCAGAATTGTGGAGAGCGGAACGGTCCGCCCAATTCGTTTGGTTCTATAATATTATTGGACACAAAGTGAAAGGAAGGTCTTTTAGGCGTCACCTCAACCGTCTGGCCCTCTCCCGTCACGCGGACAATTAACGGAAAATTCAAAAAGAAGTGAGACACAAGTCGGGCAAAAAGAACGCGCGCAAAGTGTCACACATGGACTTACAGTTTTGAATTCAAGGCTTGCCGGCTCATTTTGCCTCCACAAAAGGCAGTCCCGTGAGGAAAAGACTCACAAAAGAGTACCCAGAGCGTGTAAAATTGTGGATCTCCAAAATAATGATTGCTGTTGAGAATCGACTTGTTGCAAGTCGGAACGAAACCAGCGCATACGTAAGCAGAATTCTATTACACCTAGCCAATGAGATCCTTTTTATTTGCATTGGCTTTGACACCTTTTCCCAAGAGGTCCCTTTCATTGGCACCTTTTCCCAAGAGGTCCTTTTATTAGAGTTCCCAAAGACTGGATCCCGATGACCAATTTTGCCCTACTTGGCGCTTGGAAGAAATGACAAGGATTGCTTCTTGTTGGCAACGACTTGTGGCGACAAACGCTTGTGACTTGCAGTACTTGTCTTTCCCTGTAAAATCAATCTTTGAATAAGACTATAGACACACAATCATTGTGGTATTCTCATCTATTTTAAAATATGTAGGATTCGCGGGCATGGTGTCTGCATATAAAATCTTTGATGCGACGGAGCCAAGTTGTATTTCGTCCAAGACTGTTGAAAAATATATTTATTGCGCCTCTTTCTATTGTAGACTTCATTTGGTTGGTGGCAATGACACCTCCAGAAAGATCCAAGAAAAAGAGGTTCTGCTTGTAGGAACGAATACCCGTATCTCGTAGCGAATTCTTGTTGATTGATGCGTTTCATTCCAATCATTATCTTGCCAACGTAGAATGGCAGAACTTCAGTCAATACTTCGCAAACAGAAAGACGCAAAAGTAGCTCATTCTTAGTAGAACAGATCGATGACTTGATTCGGCAGGGTCTTGTTTGCAACGTAGAGCATTTGGCTTGTTGACGGGTTGGCATCTGAATATTATTTTGGCAACAGCAGAATGACAAAATCTTGGTCAAAGCTTCGCGGAAATACCAGTCAAATAGACGCAGAAGTGCAACTGCATTCATTCGATCCGTCTCATCACTGCGCATAGAGCGATAATAGAGTTGCGTGAGAAAATTGTATGGAGGAGATGCAACGCCCATCCGAAACTTACCTTCATTTTCATTGCGATTTTGATGCAACCGTGAGTAAATGAATGATTGATGAATTCAAATCTAACGGATAGAAGGCCGGCGAGCGGGTATGCCTGCGCGCGGATTTGAATCTCGGCGGGAAATGGATGTTCACCTACGATGGCAAGACGGTTGAGGTGATTCCTAAAAGACCTAGTAACCAAATGGTGTTTATTTCTATATATTGGACACGGGAGATCGCTAACGTCCGGTCCATGTTTCGTGTAAAACCAATACCAGGTATTCAAATTCCGATATATCACACACATGCATGTGCGATCCCACCATGATGTGTGGAGCACCAACGGTCAAGCAACGATGTCGTATCATAGATTTTTTGGTTCAAGGTGCCAATTAGTAGGACGAGACATTTCCTCCCGACGCCATACGTCAGCAGATTTAGGAAATGACACACATGACATGTATTCTGACGCAAGCACGAAAGATCTGGTTCAAATCGGGGCCCACACTGTGACGTCACGTTAGAATACTACTCATCCCCCGAATTCAACAGACCAAAAGTGATGGCACCCGAATTTTTGATGACAACCTTTCAGAACAGGAATCGAATGTCATGTTTGCATCAGCTATACCATTTCGTGATTGTTTAGATACTCTCTAGAACAAACCCGAAACAAAAGATCAGTCACTTCTCACATTATTGCTTTCATATTTTTTTAAAAAAGAAAAGAGTAATCAATTGAACCATACTGTATGATCAAGGACAATATGCTATGCCCCACGATTCTGTTGCTCGCTCTTGTTTCTCAAGTCGGATCCTTCACGCTACTACTACCTTGCTTGAATACGATTCATCAGCAGAAACATCATCAGGATAAGCAATGTTGCTCGTCCATCAAGCTACTTGTTGGTGATGGTGGTGGCACGTTTGAGAATGTTCAGAATCGTGAGAAGACTCAGGCATCATCGTCTTCTTCTTCTTTTTCTACTTGTTCTCCTTCTTTGCTAGTATCATCCAGAAAAAGCAGCAGAAGCAGTAGCACTCGGCGGAATGCTATAATCTATGGCTGGGATGGAGAAGATTCCGATGAAACCGATACCACATCCACAGCAGCAGCATCCACAGCAGCAGCATCCACAGTTCCATCGTATTTCACAGTGGATTCCGACATTGGTCCCGATGCCTGTCCTCCCGAAGGATTGGCCGTCGCCATGAAGTTGAGCGACGATCTCGGACGGATGGGAAGCTTGGCACGATTGGCGGCTGCCTTTTCTCCACCCGAACAAGGTTTGTCCATTCAGGATATTGAAAAGGTCGAAGTGACCTGCGTCCGAGAACATCAAATTGAATTGGAAGCGATCTTGTGTGAAACCTATGGATGTGTGACACTCAGCGTGCCGGTGCAATTTCCAAACGAATGTGGGGACATGGATATGGAATGTGCGATTCAGAATTTGGATTCTCTGGATATACGAGCGGAAACTATGGTATCTCACATGCAAGCATCCATGGAAGAACTGTCATTGGACAATGCTGATTTGGAGGAATTGGTAGAATTGAATGATAAAACGTCCTTTCCCAACTGGTGGGTACCACCTGGTGATATCGATGAAATGGGAAAAGAATGCGAATCTATTAAATCCCTCCTCAACGAAGCGGAATTTCATTCCGAGATTGTGGCCTTGGCACAAGATGGAATGGAAAAGAATGCCAATATTAATGGAAATGGATGGAACAACAACCAAGAGATCGGATCTCTGACTGGCAAAAGTGCGGAGTATCAAGTCCAGCGAGCCAAAGTGGCAGCCGTCGGTCCCGCCGGAATTTGCATCAAGGTGGCGGCCATTCAACTATCGGAACCAGGACGGGGCACTCAATACTTGGATGTGGCCTATCCCTTTTCCGCCAGTAGTGTCAGTACTATTCATGATGCGGCAACCTTGCGGGCCAATGTCTTGGGAGTGGTGATTGCGGCAGCCGACAAAGGACAACACTAACAGTAATGCTGGTGCTGGTGCTGGTGCTGGTGCTGGTGCTGGTAGTAGTGGTACTAGTAATAATACCACCGGCAAGGGCCCTTAGCAAATTGGAATTTGGAGACTGATTGATTCATTCGACATGTAACGGTCGATACATGCATGTTCGCATAACTATATGCATGCAAACACTATATCATGAGGATGCAAAACATTCATGATGATTATATGACAATAGCAATGACATGACAAAGCACTGCACTATACTATACTATACTAGCTGGCCAGTACCAGTCAACAATAAGAACAACCACAAACGCAAACAAAACGTTATAATACATTTTTAGAATAATATTTTTTTAAAAATGAAATATACTGTACCGGTAAGTATTATTCTGATTCAAAAATATTAATACGATTGATCCATTTCATACTAACTATACTGTACTGTAGTTAGGTTGGAAGTTCTACTGTAACGTTCCAAATGGAGGCTTCGAATGATTGTGATGACATGGTTCCTATACTATTGGTACCGGTACTGACAAAGTTCAGAAAATACTACTGTCGTGCAACCGCCGCATCATCATATTCATCATGTCGCATCTCGCGCTTCGATGATGTATATAGCGACGCGATAATAATTATTCCAACAACAAATAACCATACTATACCACCATCAAGAATTGTGGCAAGAGGACGATAAACAATAACAACAACCATGAAGGCATCGTTGGAGGAATTGAAATCAGCTATGATGCTTGGCAATACTTTGCTTGTCCAAGAGTTATTGGAGGATTTTAGAGCCGATGATGCTGCTAATTGGTCAATAATAATATCGTCACAACCATCATCACGTCGCCGTCGCCGTCGGAATAGTAATAATGACAACAATCACAATCGAGAGAAATTCCCAATGTCAATGTTAGAACTGGCCTGTGATCTAGACGATCCAGAAATTCTGGAAATGCTATTGCAGCATGGTGCGAATGCAAATGTCATGTCTGGTGGCCGTCATGGTTGTTACGAGACGCTACTACATACAGCCTGCAGACGTAATAAATTCGACCTTGCGGAAGGGTTGCTGGACCATGCGTGGCGCGGATTTGGAAATTACCAACAAGAATGGACAAACTCCCCTACAGATTGTGACTAGCGGTATGCTTATTATCGGGAAGATTGATTCGGTGGACCTCATTTGGTTGTTGCTCTCAGTCGAGGTGCAAATGTGGACGTCTTTGACAATTGCAAAAATGGTGATACGCCCTTGCATGCGACAGTTGCCGGACTATTCTCGTTCGAAGTTGCGCAACTGGTAATAATGGACCATATAACCCTCAAATTGAGGCAAGGAACAGCCATGGCGCTACACCTCTGCATGCACCTTTGCAATCACGCCTTCCCTCCTGTGGACAATGTGAATAAAGTCTGTCTATACTGTTAGCCCGTGGTGCCAATGTGGAAGCAAGGGACGACGACAACAGCACGACACCTTTACATGCGGCGTGCCTCCGACGCAATGTCGAGGTTGCGCGTCTTCTTCTACTGGAACAAGGTGCTGATTTGGAAGCCAGGAACAATAATACTGGACAAACACCATTACACATCGCATGTGACGTATCCTCCAGCGAGACTGTTCGTCTTCTATTAGACCACGGTGGTGCTGATGTGGAAGCAAGGAACAATGATGGAAAAACTCCGTTGCACATTGCATGTTTACGAAGACTCCATCGAAATTGTTCGTCTTCTATTGGGCCAAGGTGGTGCTGATTTGGAAGCGATGGACAATGATGTGGTTTCGCCTCTACTGATCAATATCGAGAGCCATGTTTACGACACGGACAGGAGGGACTTGGAAGTCGTTCGCCTCATGATCAGTCTAGGTGCTGACGTGGAAATAGGCCACCTAGTGAGCTTGACTCCCTTGCATTTGGCATCTGGTAGAGGCGGCACTATCGAGCTTATGGAACTCTTGTTGGACCAAGGAGGCAGCAATTTGGAAAGCAGGAGTGGCGGTGATGATACCCCTTTGCAATATCGTTTGCGGGCGTGTCGGCATACCTCCTGATGCTGTTGAACGTGTTCGTCTACTTTATGATCGGGGTGCCAGTTTGGAAGCAAGGAATGAAGTTGGCTCTACACCTTTGCATATCGCATGCGCCGAGGGAGAAGGGAATGTTGTTCGCTTCCTTTTGGATCGAGGTGCCAGTTTGGAAGCAAGAGACAACAACTACAATACACCCTTGAATATTGCATGTTCCGAAGGGAATAATGTCGAGGTAGTCCGTTTGCTATTGGATCGAGGTGCTGATGTGGAAGCAACGAACAATATGGGATGGCGGTCGTTGCATATTGCAGCCGTTAACAATTGTACAGATATCGCTCGGGTACTTCTGCGCCGGAGTACCGTGGTAGATGCCACAACACTTGCAAAGACGACTGCACTGTCGTTGGCCTGTCAAATGGGCCATGTGGAGATGGTCTGGATGCTGGTGAGTCAATGTCCGTGGCTTGTTGATGGGCATGGGCAAGCTTGCGTAACTTGATTGAAGAACAAATCTATAACTATATTCGAAAATATTGTGCCTTAACTTTGGTACTGTTTGTAAAATAAACTGACAACCAAATAGTCCTACCGGTACCAGGTACTATATGTCATGTATGTGTCGACTCTGTATTATTGTTGCGACTTCACAGGATAATTGGGTACTGAAACAGTGGAAAACATCGAATCATGTCGAAGTATACCGGTATGTATAGCGGCAGTCAATAATGAACCAATATCGTACGTAGAGCTTTCCTTGTGCTAAAGAATGGTGCCAAAGATGGACACCATTAATTGCACCGGGTAGAGCTTTTGTATTTACAGTATTAGTATTCTGTGTAACGAAACAGAGATTTTATATTTTTCTACAGTACAGTAAAGTAGGTAAAAGATGGTCTCTGATTCTCCACGTATCCGTTGGTTTGGCGCGTTTCTGTGACAGTTTGAAATTGCCAAAATGTCTCGTACTTAGGCCAACACGCGCCAAATCGCATGGTCCGGCTCGACGTTGCAGATAGCAACGGCTGTATGTGACGGTTGTCACAAGAGTAAGAAAGATTCTTTCGGACAACCGAAAGTCACGGTTGCGAAATACAAACTCCCTGCTGGACTCCTCACCTGTCAACTCGCTCATCCAGCAAAAACGCCCAAGCAATTCAATAGAGAATAACCAACACAACACAACACACACAACGCAACAACCACCACAATGCCTAGAATACTACCATTGCTTCTACTCATCGCCACAACGTGCAATGCGGCTCGTCCCCAAATGTTCGAAGTGGAATCCGCAGTTGAGTTTCAAAAAGAAGAAGAGGCAATTTTGTTGGAAGAAATGAGGATGATGCGGCAAACGCAGGCAAAGAATGCTAATGTCAATGCTAATGCTAATGCTAATGCTAATGTCAATGCTGTAACAACGCCAGAAGCCTTGAACCATGCTGCCATGGAACGAGAAGAGGCAGCAGCAGCAGTTGAAGGAGACAGCAAGGAATCATTAACAGAAACAGAGACTGTGTTACCTGTTGTGAATCGGAACGATGATCCTCCCAAGCAACACCAGCAGCAACGACAACATCAGACACTCCTTCGAGCCACCAGGGAAGCATTTCAAAGAGAAGAACAAGAAGCAGAACAGCAGCATACAGAAGGCACTACGCCATCGCGGTCAAGGCGTCTCCGCACGGCCACCACCACTGGTCCACAACAACTTGAACAACAAAAGCAACAACAACGAACAAGACGAACCACCACGTACTTGGAAAATCTGAATCAAAAGACGCACAGCGTCGCCATTCAATCCTTTTATCAAACGACGACCGAGGAACCCAATCGACCGCTGCTCGAATCCACTGGGAAACGACTCAACAAGGTCGCTCTCGAAATGTTGTTTGAAGAAGAACTTTTGGAAGAAATGCTGGAAATTGCCCAAAGCAGCATGGCGAGGTAGTTTTGTTATTGCTCCTTCTTGCTGTATGGGAATAATGATGTTGTTGGGTGATGTTGTTGCTCGTCTCTTGTCTCGCCTTTGTCTTGTATTATTGTCTCTACCATCCTAGTACAGTACTTGCAATAGTTTGGAGGACAAGAATAATAGGGAACGAACAGCATGGGTCTTTGGGGAAGATGAAAGTGATGTGTGATGTAATGTGATTGATTGGAATTAATCATCCAACAACGTTGATTGATTGATTGATTGATTGATTGATTGATTGATTGATTGATTGATTCCTGTAATATAATACAAAATACTAGTAATAATTACTTACTATTTTCAATTCTTACGCACTTTCAACGACACTTACTGTAGGTACAGGAGTACAATGCATCTGAATGAAACGCAATCTTACAGTACTCATATCATCAATATAGATACTTCATCTTCGAACATTGTTTTTCTCATCCAGAATCTGAATCCTTCCTATAACATGTGGTGTGTGATTGATTGATTGTTGTGTATATGAATTGTTCGCCAACTGCAACTAAAATTTCATATTCGTGTTGCAGCAGAGGCACCGTCATATATGCGGTTGCTCTCTTCTCCGCATCGTTCACAGAACGTTATGCGTACAGGCTATTATACGCAAACTTCCCAGATGCTACAGTCACGCACTCCAACTATATTTTCATATACGCGTTGTAGCAGTGGCCCCATGACCGGTGGCACTCTTTTAAGGATCAGCATCTTTTTCAGGGAACGTTCTTTGCACACACTTGTTGAAGGCCAGTATGTTTGCCATTTTTTTTTTCTCTCACACCATACACAGTCAAAACAAACGACAGGCTCCCACGTGGAGCTGAAGCAGGACCGGAGAGTTATACAGTAGCTCAATGCCAGTTATGCTCTCTCTCTTTGGGATATCGCTTACGGGGTTCCTTCCCCCAGCACACCAGCCAAAGAAGTATGTGTTCTGGATTTGAGAAGCACCGCCATCTTCGTGGGGTTGCATTCTCTTTCGAACGATCAGTGTCATTCAAGGAAAGTTTGCACATCATACTTTTGTATGTATATATGCCTTATTATTCCCTTCACATCGCATGCACAGTCAAATCAAACGACAGCTCCCACGTGGAGCTGAAGCAGGAGGACCGGAGAGCCAGAAAGAATTTCTCTCTCTTTGGGATATCGCTTACGGGGTTCCCCCACCAGCCAAAGAAGTATGTGTGTTGTGTATTGGTGTTCAGACAACTTACGAACTCACCTGCTGCTGTACGCCATAACTCTCAGCCAAATACTCCACCAAGAGTTGTTGGTGTCGCAGCAGTAGTACTCTTGCATGCCAGCCCCAATATGAGGCCTTTATTGGCTGCAATCGAAGCACGGTAGAGGTTGAATGAACATTCGAGTAGCTCTCCTTTGGAGTAGCTCTCGTGACAAAAAAAAAGCCTCTGCTTTGATTTTGTGAGCATTTGGAGTGTGAAAAAGTGAAATTGAAGAAACCAGTTTCGAAACGGCCAAGACTAAATCAGCGAAAGTTTGAGCACGTTTTCGGCAGGTTCTCAATTTCAAAATTGTTCTCCGTGTGAATTGAATACGTGTGTAAGGTGAAGATGGTAACAGTCACTATCGTATTACGTTGTTGTTGTGAATCGTTGTCGGATTCCTTTTAAATTGTGATGTGGATAATTGCATGTTTATCCAAACGGATCGTGAACGTGTTCGCGTGTCGAACCCGTTCCTCGCCAATATATACATTACTTATTGGCCGTGCATGATAGAGAACAAGCTGGACATCTGCTTGTTTCTCTGACTCATCATGCGACATCTACGACATGCCTGACATCAAAACACGTGCCCGTTTGCAGATCCAACAGTAGAGTCCGTTGAGTCGAAAATCGTTGTTGTATGATTAATGGATATATTTTACATATATCATAAAATATGAATACATATTATTTCCCGATTTCTCAGCATAAAAAAGATCGAATTTATTGCTAGCTAGATACGGTAGCGTGTATATTTACCCGTAAATATAATTGTACCTACTATCGTAAAGTTAATATAGTTGGATACGCCTTCCTCACTGCACTTCTAGATCACTTCTCTATAGGTGTATACACGCACGAATGTCACAAGTAAAGGACACCAAGACGACTTCTAAGGCGTCTTGCTCGCTCGAGAGTCAGTCCGATTTTGAGTATCCTCTGCGGCTTCAAATGGTTACTATATTATATCTATACGTTAACATTAACTACTACTACAGTAGTACTAGTACTTTTAATAGTAGTTCATCGTACTTGGTAGTACTAGTGTTAGGTACTCCTAGTAGACTACGACATTCGAAATCATTTTTATACATGTTGCTATGATAATCATCATGATGGGTAAATGTATATCTTTAGTATGGAATCAAGCAATCAAGCAATGGATGAAAGAAGTTATGCTGCGTAGTAGTACTAGGAACTTCCTGGGGCAAGGGGACATGGGTGGGTGACTGACTCCTCCTCCTCCTCCTCCTTAGACTTCTTCCTTTTATACATCACCACAGCACTCTTGTACTTTTGTTTACTAGAAGTATATCACCATGATTGTTGGCGCCCAAAAGTGGTTGAAGCTCCTGTAGCCTAGTATCATTAAAAGACATAGTATAGTACCGGGACTACCTACCTGGTCGTGGTGGTAGTGTCCACCAAGTTACTGACTCGTACGGTACCAGGGCACCCTGTAGTACACCAAAACAAAATAAATGGGATCTTTGCTCCATTCTTGCTTCAATGACCCCTGGAAAATAGTCGAACCATGTTCGAATCAGCAGGTTCAACATGACTTTCCGGTTTAGTATTAGTATGCTTCTCCTCGGAGGTATTTTTAATGCTTCTCGCTCCGCCATAGAGGTACCAATAGTACCCTGGAAAATGGTCGAACAATGGTCCCATCGTCCATCGTCCCTACAGGGGTGGCTTTTCGATTTTATAATTGTATTCCAAGTATAGTATGCATGCTTGCTTGCTTCTCAATCATCAGCAGTACGCACCGACTCGCTACTTTTGATGCGATTGGTGCCGTGGGTACCTAGTACAGGAGCACTTGATTTCTTCCGATTGATATAAGAGGTAGTAGTAGTAGTAATCGTAATGGCCTCCCTACTACGGTAGCATACCGGTTACCTGCTGTTACTGTATCGTCAAAACAAAACAAAAGTGACGAGTATTTTTATGGCCATGCTGCTGGCAAAACAGTCAAAATGCTCCCATGAAACATACAGTATTGTCCATGCTTCTTCTCGGAGTTATCAATAGGCACAGCATGGTTTCCGATTGAATTATATTATTAGCGGTACCGCGCCAGTATCGTACGCCACGCATAAAACATAAATAGTTTTTGCCTGGAAAATAGCGGAAGATCCCTCTTTTTATATATATTGGTAAAAGGCTATGCCTCGCGTCCCTTGACAAGAAATAGTTACACTTATGGTGATGGATGTCGTATCGTTTCTG